GAGCAACAAGGAATGAGACTAAAGCTCAACCAACCTGTTCAAAACACGCCCAAGACATTTCTAAACTCCAATCCAAAGCATTAGAGGACGGAAATGAAATACAGACAACCACAACTATCAACGGAACCGAGTCTGGAATATAGTAAATAAGGAAGGAAAAACCGGGATCGCTATAAGAAGGGTCCAACCTCCCAAAACAGTCAAAGTTACCCGAGACAATCCCGTATCCCAACCAAACACAAAATGGGTTGGGTTTTCTGGCCGAGCCACTACATGAATTGAATCATTTTGCAATCATCTACACTGTTTGATAAATATAACTCAATTTAATTTTGTCACTATGAAAAATGTTGTCAATTTTTTTTAGATAATTTTTATTTTTCTTTTCAAAAAGTACAATATATTGGTTTATGACAAATCAATACAAGATATATTTTATGCGTTAAATTCAAGTAAACCAAACATACCCTGATCTCTTTGAAATAAATTTGAGATTGGACAATTTAGATCAAGCTAAAAAGAAATCTCTTTACATATTAAACTAAAATAAATAGCCTATAAAGTTAGTCTTGTTTGAGAAGTTACAATTTTAACTTAAAATTTAAAAAGTTATTAAAAAAAGTCAACAAATTATACCCAAAAAAAAAAAATTCAATGATTCTATTCTCTTAATTTTTTGCACTTTTCAAAAAAAGTCAAAAAGTCATTCTAAACATACTAGGGTTTTTTTTTAATCTCATATTTTAGTCAAAAGTTAAAAAATTACTAAAATATCTTATTCCCAAACCAGACTGTCCAACTTACAACTAGGGCTGTTAAATGAACCAAGTTACTTTAGTTCGATTCATTAAAAATTAGTTCGATTCATTAAAAATTCGTTCAAGATTGACTCGTTATGTAAATAAATCAAATTCAAACATAATTTTAAACTCGTTAATTTTCAAATCACATTTGAACAACTTATTTCTCGAATCAATAAACTTATAAGCACTTTTAAAAAATCAAACTATTCGAATTCAACTCGATAAAAGTTCATTCAATCAATTCATTGTATAAATAAATTAAAATTAAATATAATTTTAAACTCAATAACTAATCAAATCAAATTTAAATTATTTACTTATCGATTTCACTCAAACTCAATTTCAACCATATTTACAACTCTATAAACAGTGCTCAATCATCTTTATTCCCAAGCATAATTCCAACATGGGTTTGAATCATGAACCCCACTTAAACATTAGAAAATGCATGAGACCGCAGCGGGGGTTTGGGAGTCTCTGCTGATTGGCCAAAAATTATTTTTTTTATTTTTTATTTTCAGTCATTGGCAGCCCACCACGTGGGGTGGTGCTGGAGTGCCTTGGAGCTGGGGTCTCCAGCATAACCCCTTAAACATTTTCCTTGTGTACTAGTGCTAGCTAAGGTCCCCTTGCCACTAGCCCTTCATTTATTTTAGTCCCCACCCATCCTCTCACCAATTCAACCTTTTTTCCTTTCAATCACTTTCTGTTCATTTCAGTTTCTCCTTTCCATTTTCCTTTCAATCACTTTCTCTTCATTTCAGTTTCTCCTTTCCAATCGGTCCACCGACAGATATTTGCAGTATGTTTATAAATTTTGTATCTTGACACAAAAGCATAGAAACAAAAACAAAAAATAAAAATAAAAATAATTAGAGAACTTGCGAATAGTTCTTAATAGATAAATTTATTTTCTATTAGGTCCTGAAAAAATTAATAGTATTTTTTATCAAATACTATTAAAAAAAGTTACTAATTGTTAATTTTCAACGACAGTTTAAAAATTTTGTCACAAAAAATATCACTAATTATAAGTTTTAGCGATAGTTTAAAAAAATCGTCACAAAAAAGTTACTAGTTTTCAACTTTTAGCAATAATTTGAAAAATTCAGTTTTAACTACAATTTATAAAAATTGTGACAAAAAAAAGTCACTAATCGTCAAACAACATATACAAAAAAAGTCAGAAAAAATTATTTTTAGTGATAATTTTATTAGAACTTATTTTCAGTAAGATTTGATGGGAATTAAATCCAACTATTAGAACCTAACGGTTTACCCAAATAATTATAAATTAGTGATACATTTTATCAATATTAATTATTAACAATTTTAAAATAATTATAAACTAATGGTACATTTTATCTATATTAATTATTAAAATTATAAACTTCTTCATGTATGGGTAATAATTTTCTCAACTTTCCACTGATGGATAATTTTCCCTAATAATAATAGGTAATTCAATTTGGTTTTTAAATTTTCAAAAGCAGTTTTTGAATTTTTTTTTAATAGTTATTTTCATATTTTAAGTATGTTTTTGGGAGTTCATGTCACAAATTTAATTTTTAAACTTATTTGGTAATACTTCTAGGTGTCAAACTCTTGAGTCTACAAGGACATGCATTTTCTGTTAAACAAACTTGCCTTGTATTTATTTTGTGCTAAATTTTTTTAACATCTCATAATTTGAGTTTTACAAATTCATTTTTAATAAAACTGATATCTGTAAAAAAAGTAGACGGCACTTACAGATATCAGTTTTATTAAAAATGAATTTGTAAAACTAGATTGAATTATTATAATAACAGGTTAATTTAATAATAACAGGTAATTCAATTTGGTTTTTAAATTTTCAAAACGGTTTTTGAATTTTTTATCTTTAATATTTTAAGTATTGTTTTGGGAGTTCATGCCACAAATTTAAATTTCAAACTTATTTGGCAATACCTAAACTCTTAAGTATATAAGGACAAGTATTTTCCGTTACAGTTTTGCCCTTACATTTATTTTATGCTATTTTTTTTTTTAAATCTCATAATTTGAGTTTTACTAATTCATTTTTAATAAAATTGATATTTGTAGATTCGTTTTTTTGAAATCTTTCAAATAAGATCAATATTCAATATAACTTTTTTATAAAAAATTTGAGGTCCCAGGTCTCGGACTCAACTTAAATGTGCCTTCCAGATTTATAGTTTTCTTTTTCAGAACTTTGAGGGGTTGTGTTGCATCAATGTTTGGGAATTCAAACTTGTTTAATCTTCTTAACATTAGAACGAACTAATTTTTTTTTGATTTTCGAGCACAAGGACGAAAAATGAAGCAATGGAATCACCTCGGAAAGATCATGTTGGGTCAGGCAGGGCCGTACGTGCGGATTGGAGTAAACCAATTGGAGTTTTCTAGATAGAGGGCTCCTACGTGCAGTGGGAGGTCCGCACATGCGGTGGTGAGTCTTACACGTGTGGCAGCGAGACAACAACTTGGGTTGGTATTGGGAGGATCTGCAGTGTAGCGAGGGATCCCACACGTGCGGCGTAAACTTCTATACATGTGGCTAGATACGTTTTTGACCTCAAATTTGGTGTATTTTAGCTCCATTTGCTGAATTTCTTGTTGCTCCTCTCACTTCTCTCATATCTCTCTACCTAAACCCTGAAACTTTTACATTTCGTTTTGATCTGACAAATCCGTTAGGATTTTGATACTAGTTCCTATTACCAAAATGACAAGCACGTCGAAGGTTACATTTTAATCGGTGGAGACCAAATTCTGATGAAGTCAATTTTGGGGCTTTTTGTCCCCTTTTAGCTTTAAGGTAGGGATTTCTTTACTCCTTTTAAACACCTCATTATAGATAGAGATATGGTAGTTTTTATTGCATTAAAACCTTGATTTGTTAAGGATTTTTGAAAGGCATGTAATGAGGGTTAGGGTTTCATGTTCTAGAGCTAAATCTTGTGTTTGTTGTGGATTTATGAGATTTTGTTCTTGAGGAACATGTTTAAATGGTTTAGAGTAAAAAGCCCTAATTGTTTGCCTAGTGGTTATGAAAAAAAGGGAAATTTTTTATGTTTTGATATTATTTGAACCATATGGAATAGTGTGTATTTAAAATGTGTAAATGGATGTCTAAAAAAATAAAGAGGATTGTTATGAAATTAATTTGTGTCAATGATTATCGTTGGTTTTATAATTGTTGAATTATACAAATGTCATGAAATCAGGATTTCGGAAAAATAAAGAGGGTGTTGGATTATGATTATAAATTACCCAGTTGGGCTTTAATAACTAGAGGGAGAATTGATAATTTGTTGTGGGTATTGAGAATTGAGAATAAGAGGAATTAGATTTGAAGTCAAGAAGAGGTTTATAACTTTTGTGAAATAAGAAATGAGAATGAGAAGAGCTCATTGTTATGGGCTTCTCTTCCCTTTAGTTTGTGCCTGCTAAAGTGTGAACGGGTTCTTCTCCACACCGGCTTGAGGTCCGGTAAAGTGTAGCGCTTTGAAATGGGTTATGGCTTGACGAAGAAGAGTTATATTGTGTGATAATTATATGTAATGTTTCTTCATATTGGTGTTGTAATAAAAAGGGATGCATTGTAGACCTTCTGTGTTTGTGACCAAAAAAATAGAGTAATACGTGTTAACATGTCTACTGTTGCATGTATTTATATTATTATGGATGCTCCATCTACCATTGTGCTTAAGGTCATAGAACCTGGTCATGATCCTTGGAGCTGTATGCTTTGATATACGTAGCGGGTTAATTGCTAATTAAATCATGAGACTGTGATAACGTAATTAATGATTGAGATTCATAAAGGGAAATAGTGGCAGGTACCAAAATCTGTTTTAAATGTATAAACTTGTATTCGAAAAGCAAAGGTTATCATGAGTTTTATTGGAACTAAAATGGAAAGAATAGAATGATAAGAATGGTTGTTTTCTTGTTATATTAAAGAGAATCTTGTAACAGTTGATTTTGGGTGACTACTCGAGCGGTCATTTGGTCGCTCAAGCAGAGGTTTGCAGCTCCCAGAATCTAGCAAGTTTGCAGGCGAGATCGCTCGAGCGAAGGAATGGTCGTTCAAGCGTAAAATGTGAGCTCCCAGTATTTTCATTGTAGCTATGCAAAGGTTCTGAGACCTTGCGTTTACCGCTCAAGCGATGGAAAGTTCACTCGTTGCGTTTACCGCTCAAGCGATGGAAAGTTCACTCGAGTGGTCCCTTTGTATTTTGGCACTTCGCTTGAGCGATGGAAAGTTCGCTCGAGCGGTTTGGTCGGGGTAGCAGGGTTATATTGTGATCCAAACACTTGTCTAACTCATTTCTCTCACACGGCCCTATTTCCAAAACCCTAGCTAAAACACCCTAGATTTCATCTAGTAAGAACAAGAATCGATCTTTGGACCTTCATTAAAATTGTTATCCTCGTCAAGAACTACGTTTTGAACCGATTAGATCGTGATATCTTGGAAGCTCATAGTGTGGACCTTCATCTCTCTTTGTGCAACCTTGAGGTAGGAATATTTTTACTTTTCTATATTTATATTTTGGCTTAAATGTGTGTGAATCTTAAGATGGGTGGAACTATTGAGATGGATGTGGTATATGCATATATATATATATGGGCTTTGTGTTGATGAAGTGTTTGTGTGAAATTGATGGTGGGTTGTGGAATCAACTATGAAATAGTGAGTAAATAGACTTGAATCGAGGAAAATAAATAGTTAAAAGGAAAAGCCCCAAATTTTCATATGTAACCCTAAGGGTTGTTTTTTATTTGGACTTAATGGATAATGGATAAGTAAAATTGGGAAGTCCTTGTGATTATTTGTGTTGTGTTTAAAATGTTAATGTTTTGGAATGTGTTTGAGGTGCCCACATGCCAGGTTCATGTGAGGATGACGAATGTGGGAATGTGTTTGAGGTGCCCACTTGCCTGATTCGCGTGAGTGTGACGAATGTGGGGATGTTGTGAGGTGTCCACTAGCCGGTTCAAGTGAAGATGACAAAAGTGGAAGGTTTGAGATGTTCACTGGCCATTCGTGTGAGGACGAAAAAATATGGAGACTGAATGGTAAATTGTGTGCTGTGTAATAATTTCTAAACCAATGGAAATTCATGGGCATCAATAAAGGTCATGCATATTAAAATCAAATGTTTATATACTTGGTTAAAGTTATTCTTTTCTGGGCAATTGCTCATTTCTATTTACTAACATTTCAGGAAATGAAGAGCCCCACAACCATCAATGAAGAAGAAAACGACTACCTTTTTTCAAAAATCTAAACTTTTGTGAACTTGAGGTTGTAAACTCCTTTTCTACTTTTATTTTGAATTTTGTATTTTTGTATTAAATGTCACAATGTAATTAGTAACTCAGAGGACAATGTAATTGTTTTGTAATCTTCTCCAACTCATTGAACTGAGATAAGTATTTTGTAATTTTGTAAACAAAATTTGTAGTTTAATGAAAAAGAGAAACATTTGCATGGGATTGTGTCATGTTTTTATGTAGAGGATGTTCTTTTAATTGTTTAATGGGAATTATATGTGTGGGGTGTTACAAATCTTTTGGGAAACAAATATATTTGTGTAAGTATATTTTGAAGTATGAAATGTCACATTACTTGTAGATGTATATATGTGGAGCACTCATGATCATGACTATCTATATGTTGTTATTGTTTATGATCATTGGGATCTTTACTAGATTTTTGTGTTCATCACACGTTAGTAGCCATTTTTCAGGTATGGAGTGAAAAGTTGCTCAAGACTTGAAGTCTGTTATTTGTTGGCCATAGCTAGGGCCTTATGATTGTAGGCAGAATGCCAATATATTGTAAAAATAGTTAATCTCTTTATTTATTTCGTTTATCTGTAATTGATGATGTAGCCTACGAGCATGTATCTTATTTCATTGCATGTATACGAGAGGGGACTTTGTAAATTATTTATTCCTTAATGTTTTTGCATGTTTATCATTATTAAAATGGACTGATTAAAGGATATGGTAATATTATTTGAGTAATAAAAGTCAGGGCGCTACAAAAAAGGTGAATAAAGTAATTTTTTAGTTAATCAAAATAGCAAGACAACATATTTTTACAAAATAAGCACTTGAAACCTATTTCAGTAGTTTCAAATTGATAGATCTTGAAGGAATACAAGAAATCAACAAAAAAAAAAAAAAAATCCAAAATGAACTATCGAGCATGAAGTTATGACATTGAAATTTTAACACTATAAATGATTTTTTTTAACACTTTCAAATAGCTATATGTTCAAATTATTTTAACCCATCTGTCTATTTTATTTTAACCTGTGTATATCAATATTTTAAATTAGCTGTGCAAATTTTTTGAACATATTTGAATATCTTTTCAAATTATTTTCACATATTTGTCCCAATAATTTTAACTTATCTGTTCAAATTATTTTAATCTATTTTTACAAATTATTTTAACTTGTAATTTATGTTAATTTTTTTAAAAAAAAACTCATAACTTGAGTTCTGCAAATTCGTTTTTAACAAAATTGATATATGTGGATTCGTCTTTTCAACATCTTTTAAACAAGTTCAAATTTCCAAAAAAGCAAATTAATCAATTGAGTTTTTGGTTAATGAATGTGGCAAAACTATAAATTTCAAAAAAAATACATAGAATAAAAATAAATTCGTTGTTACTTATTAAAGTTTTAACACTTTCTTTTAATATACATCTTCAGATAGTTATCTATTCAAATCATTCAGATAGCTATATATTCAAATCATTTATGAAGTTCAAACTTCAACAAATCATAACTTTATGCTCGGTAGTTCGTTGTGGATGAACATTTTTTTTATTCCAGTATTTTTTCAAGATCTATCCATCCAAAATGATAGATTGATTTTTTGGTTAATCAAAATAATAAAAAAAAAATTCCCAATAAATAAGAGCTCAAAAAAATTGCCTTTGGTATTTTGGATAAATCACAAAAAATAAATAAAAATAAATACATGGAATAAAAAAAATGGAAAAATTAGTATAAGGTTCCTCTCCCATTTTTAGTAATGGAATAGATTCACAATATTATTTTATGGTGTCTAAGGTCCCTCAACTCCCACACCCATGTATCATAGAGAAATTTGACTGAAATCAAACCTCAGCTTTCCACTTCTCTCTCTCTCTCTAGAATACATTTACAAACATATATATAGCTTCAATGGCGGTGGAGCTGTTGTGGTTTTTGAAGATGGATGAACAGATGGCGAGATAAGAGGCAGCTTCAATTGGATCCGCCGCGGACCGCCTTGTCCTCCATCGTCTTCCTCCTCGTCTTTTTTTTTTTTTTTTTTTTTATTTTTTATTTTTAGGGGAGGGGTTATACCCTGTTTATTACTTGCAGATTTCTGAGCCACTACGCGTATCAATAACAGGAGCTTCTTTGGAGGATGCTCGCTATTTGACTCATCATTATGACAGACTCCGCCAAGAAGTGGAAACACAAGTATTCTTTGATTTCACATCTGGGTATATTTGGTGGTATTGCGGTAGCCTAGAGGAATGGTGGTAGTGATATATTGAATATATCATTTTACTAGGCAGTTGAAGTGATAAAGCGTCAATCAAAGTGTAAAAATCCTTCAATTTCAGTAGAGATTTCAATAAAGCTTCAAAATGCAAAAAGAAAATTGAATGAACTTAGGTTTGCATTGATGGCCCTTGGAAGGGAAGCAATCACTGCTATGTTGTCAGTGGAGGATCAGCAGCAAAGGATCACTTTCCAAAAGCTTCTTACCATGGTATTTAGTGAATCCAAAGAAAATTTCAAATTTCTCTGGAGTGCTTCAGAGAGTCCAGCAGAAAGGGGTTGAAGAGAGAGAAAGTGGAGAGTCTAGAGAAATTCCGAAGTCCAGAGAAATTTGGTTAAAACACAGAGAATCCAGAATTTCTCTGGAGAGAAATTCTAAAATCCAGAGAAATTTCTCTAGTAATAGAAATTTCTCAAACTGAGTACCTACCCTAACACAGGTGATTACTAGAATTCCCTCAATCACACACAGTTGAAGTGTCAATTGAGTGCAGAGAACAATATGGTAATAGAAAGGCTGCTGTGTGTTATGGTCATAGTGAGTATCTGTGTTGTTCTTGGTTGTGGCCAGTATAGGCATATCAAAAAATGCACTGTGTTTGTAGCTAATAGCAAGCATATTTACATGATTCATGTGTGACCTCCTAAACTTCATATAATTCTTATATCACTTTACAACACATTTGCACCATTGTGGAACTTTTTTATGTCATGTCCTAGGAATATACTTTTGCTATGAGTCTGTTAGTTGAATCCATTGATTCATATGTTAGAACAAAACATCAGAAACATTTGCACTATTTGTTTTCTCGGAAAATGAATTTGACGTGGTCCCACTTGGAATTTCTTGTCTAAAGTTTGGTTAGGAGATTAGAATGAAAATGATGAATCAAAGAATTTTTGTTTTTTGGTTTGGTCTAGAGAAAATTCAGTCCAAACCAGAGATGGACCAACCTAGTTTTCTCTTAATTAGAGCACTAGAAACCAGAAAATTTCTCTGGACCAACCCAATTTTCTTTGCAGAGCACTAGTTCAACCTAGATAATTTCTCTGGACCAACCCAATTTTCTCTGAAACAGAGCACTAGTTCAACCAAGAGAAAATTTAGTCTAAATCAGAAAATTTCTCTAGACCATCCCAATTTTCTTTGAAACAGAGCACTAGTCCTTATTGTTGTCCAGAGAAATTTGGAGTTTTCTCTGTGATGTGTCCAGAGAAATTTGAAATTTTCTCTGTGATGTGTCCAGAGAAATTCTCTGAATCGAATTTTTTCTGAATTGATGTTGAGGGACCTTAGACATCATGAAAATATTGAATGTCCTTTATGCTATAAAATTTTAATACTAGGGACCTTAAAAAAAATTCTCCAAAAAAAAATTCATCCAAAACGGACTACCAATCGTAAAATTATGACCTATTGAAGTTTTAACACTACAAACGATTGTTTTTTCTTTTACATCTTCAAAAATCTATCTATTTAAATTATTTTAAGTTATTTGTCTAAATTATTTTAACCGATATATGTCAACATCTTTAGTTATCTGTACATATTTTTTGAACTTATTTTTTCACGTAGTTGATTTTGTCCAAATTAATTTAATCTATTTGTACAAATTATTTTAACTTTTATGTGTAGTTTGTGCAAAAAAAAGTTTAAAGTCTCATAACTTGAATTCTACAAATTCATTTTTAATAAAATTGATATTTGTGAATTTGTCCTTTCGAGATCTTTCAAACAAAATCAATATTGAATATGAAATTAAACAAAAAAAAAAGATTGTTTTTTGGTTAATCAAAATAGCAAAATAATATTTTTTTCATAAAGTGCCTGAAATTACCTTTGGCAATTTTGGATAAATAGATCTTGAAAAAAATATATGGAATAGTAGTATTTTTTTTTTTTTTTTTTTTTTGGGGTTTTTTGTGTGTTCAAAATGGACTACATAAAGTTATTACCTATTGAAATTTTAACATTTTTTTTTGGTATCCAACTAGTTTTTTTTATTCATATAGCTATCTGTTCAAATCATTTATGAGATTAAAACTTCAATCGGTCACAATTTTATAGTTGGTAGTTCTGAGCACTTATTTTCTTAAAAAGAAAAAAAGGTTGTTTTGCGATTTTGATTAACTGAAAAATCAATCTATTTGTATCCATATTTGAATCTATTTGTCCAAATTATTTTAATATATTCGTCCCAATAATATTAACCTGTCTATTCAAATTATTTTAATTTTCATATTTATTTTGTGTTAAATTTTTTTAAAATCTCAACTTGAGTTTTACAAATCTATTTTCAACAAAACTGATACATGTGGATCTATTTTTTTTGAGATCTTTCAACCAAGATTAATATTGAATATGAAATTAAAAAAAAAAAATTAAATAGATTGATTTTTTAGTTAATCAAAATAGTGAAACAACATTTTTTCTGGAAAAAGTGCTTGAAAGTTGGACTACCGAGTGTAAAGTTATGACATATCCAAGTTTTAACGCCATAAATATATATATATATTTTTTTCATACCTTCGTATAATTATCTATTTCAATTATTTTATCTTGTATGTGGTGTTTTGAGAAGTTGATAACAAAATAATTTTTTAATTTTTTTGTTTTTTTTAAATAAAAAATATGAAAAATAATATAACCCAAAATAAATAGAAAGTCAAAAATTGACTACTACCCTAATTTCCAAAAGAGCCTATGACTTTTGATATATTTTCACACACGTCTATCCATACGTTTTAAACTGTATGACCAAAAAACATTTAGCATCGTGTAATAATTACTCCGACAATATTTGACATTACAACTTGATTGTAAACGATTTACTAATTATTACGTTTGAAAATGAGATATAGATATAGGTCGAAATAGGCCCTTTCCTCTCACCCAGCCCAACTTCATATTTTTAGGGCTTAGAAATATTTGGCCCACGGAGCTGAATAGGATGAGGAATAGTAGCCCAGCCCAACTTAACCTGTGTAATTTTCACAAGGATTTTTTGACTTTTTTTGTGAGAGAAGAGTGTAATGATTATGGGTTAGATGTGATGTTTTTTTTGTTGTGCCTAAAATAACCTATTTTGTCTTTTGTGAAAAAAAAAAAAAAAAAAAAAAACCCACAAAACTAGATCCCAAACGGTGACTAAAATAACTCATTTCCGAACAAGGGCTTATATTGTAGCGCTGAGAAAGTCACAAAAGCATGCAGGGAAAATTCTCTGTTCTCTGTGTGTTTCTCAGTCCGTTTCTTCCCTATTACCTATTAATACCTCTCTGTCTCTCTCTCTCACATCCAATTCACACACACATCTTCTATCACTGACGTCCCCCGATCACAATCACCAAAACCGTTGACGGCGGCGACACCACCTCCGTAGAGAGATGATTTGAAGGAAAAAAGACTGGTCGTGAAGATGGGAGCGTCGCTTTCGAACTTGACCGAATCGAACGGTTCGGCCAACGGCCGAGGCCGTGGGCTCGGGGACATACCTGAGAGTTGCGTTGCCTGCGTTTTTCTCTACCTTACTCCGCCGGAGATTTGCAATCTCGCTCGTCTTAACCGCGCTTTTCGCGGTGCCGCCTCCTCCGATTCCGTCTGGGAATCGAAGCTTCCCCACAACTATCAAGATCTGCTCGACTTAATGCCTCCCGAGAGGTACCTCAATCTATCCAAGAAGGACATCTTTGCTCTCCTCTCGAGACCCGTGCCCTTCGATGATGGCAACAAGGTGCGTATTCTGTTAATCTTTTCTAATTCAAGTTCTTGTTTCTGGGAAAACGAAATTTTGGGAATTAGGGTTTTGGGTTTGTTTTATTTTCATTTTTATTTTTTGGGTTTGGGAATGAACTACTTTTGTGTATGATACTTTGAATAGGGCGGAATTTGGTATCTCTCTGTGTTATAGGGGTATTGATTTTAGTTTTCATTTTGGTAGGGAATGCTTGAATTTCTTTTTTGAGGATTTTCGGTAATTTCGATTTTTGTTTTTGTTGTTGTTGTTGTTGTTGTTGTAGTTTGGGGCAAATTTGGGAATTAGGGTTTTTGGTTTGTGTTTTCTGTGTGTGAAGCAAATTAAAGTTTTGGGCGAGTTTCTTATTTGGTTGGTTTTGGTTTTCCTGGGATTATTTTCTTGTGGGTTTGTGGGAAAGGTTGAAAGTTACAGTTGTAGAGGAACTTTGTTTTGGGTTTGGAGTGTTTGGCATATATTAATATGTTTTCTTTGTGTGGGAGCTATTACAGGAAGTATGGTTGGATAGGGTTACAGGAAGTGTTTGCATGTCAATCTCAGCGAAGGGGATGGCGATAACTGGTATTGATGATCGAAGATACTGGAATTGGGTTTCTACTGAAGAATCTGGGTTAGACTCAAAACCATCTGAATCTGATGCTACACGCACTATATTTCAGTTAATGTTGATTGATGAGCTATATAAGAAATTGTTAGCAATGCTGTTTACTTTCTGTGATGACAAAATTTTCAATCTTGCCTTATGGTTCCAAGGTAAAAAGTAGGAGGTTCCAGTTAGGAGTTAATGCTCATTTTCACTGGAAAGAATGACATGACATGTACCTATGGTTTTTTCATCTCCTTTTTATGTCCTAAACCATATTGGTTGGTTTTTATCAAATAGATAGAGAGAATTTTTTGTCAATAAGTATGATACTCCTTTACTGCCCCTTTTAAAACTTATATATTTTGCTATATTTTTTCACTTGCTAAAATTGTGGAAACTAAGAAGTATTGTTTTGAGGATATATATTGTTGGTGCTATTATCTGTTTCAGTTTTAAATTGGCCTCTTTTTCGGTGCATGTTCTTCAGTAGTTTAAATATACTGAATTATATTACAATATGATAATGATAATGGTGCTGATGGCTGGATATCCTAAAAGGATATCTGCTGGATGAGATGAGGTGATGGTGAAGTATAATTTGCTTAGCTGGATTCTTTGAATGTTGTTTGGTGGTGAATGTGCTGTGAGAAGATGGTGTTATGGGAGATTGGAAGTATTGGGATGCACTGGAATGTTTGTGGTACAAGATGTCTTTGTTTTGGTTGGACAAGCATTTAACACCAGCCTTTTGGACAAAGTTGAAAGATTTGGAAGTTAGTTAATTAATAGGCTTTAGTTTTTGTAGAGAATATTTGAGATTCACTAAGAAGTCTTTGGAATTCTTTGGTGAAATCCCTGCTGCAGTTGTGGTAATTTATTCTGGTTTTTAGTATGTAGCAATTGTAATGTTGATGCTGGTACTAGATGTGTCCTTTTTTATTTGCACTGCACTGCTATAGATGCGCCATTTCCATGTTGGACACACATTGGACAAACACTTCTTACATACTCCTAGACTATACACATTTTTGGCATGCCCATAACATGAAAATAGATATCATAATTTGGACACTTGGAAGCATTTCTTAGACAGGTTGATGTCTAATAGTAGTAGTGTTTGAGGCTTTTGGAGGTACAATACACATACTTGTAAGTGCCCAACCTTTAGAAAGAAGTAAAAAAAGAAGGATAATTTGGCATTGTACATATAGCCACCAGAATTCAAGCTTGCAATTGGCACTTTCTAGTATAGAAATGATTTTAATTGTAAAGGAATATCTAGGATAAGATATAGTAGTTTACATAATGTAGATATGTATATGGTATTTCACATTATGCAATTATTAAATAAGTTATTAAGAAGTTAATACGTTTGTCTTAGGTAAAATATGTTTATTTTCTTATAAATGAAAAATTGCATGCTTGACCTTCGAAATGTATATTTATATGTTATTGAGTGCTCATTGTCTATGTCTATGTCCTAATTGTTTCAAATTTGCTATGTATGCTTTTTTGTGTTGTATTGTTTGTCAATGTTTGTGCTACTTGGGTCCTCATGGTTTGGTATTTTGTTTATGGTGTATTTAAGTTGTTAACAAGTTTCAATTATATTTTAGTTCTATTTTAGGGGGAATTTGTCCTTGTAAGGCAACAAATTTATTGTGTGTGGTGGGTGATGGTTAGTGCAATCCAATGCTAGACCAATTTGTTGATACCGTGTTCGAATTAGAATTAGAGATTGATTTTCTTGTGGTGGTTTTTTGGATATTTGTTCAATGTTAAGGAGAGGTGCTAAATAAATATTGTTGGATTTTTATTTTTGATGCATGGGAGAAGGGTTAGAAGTCAGAGTTAATTGTATGAAGGATAAGTTTATGTGAGATATATGCTAGAAATGGCCACTATTTGTGTTCATATGGAAGCCATGTAACGATTGACCTTTCAAATAAGTGCTAATTTTGAGCAATGATGGCACAATATATTTGATGTATCAAGTGTATGTAGGTCCAAGGGTGTTTTTTGATACCCGGTGTCCATGCCAGCTTGTATGCAATTCGACTAATTGTGGGGTGCTGAAGTTAATGACTGAGCAAACCTCCAGTGACCCTTTGGGGTGACTCATCGTCTTCGTTCTTCTCCTTGTTTGGTTGTCTTCTTCTTTTCTTTGTTTTCCTTTAGACTCTATTTTGTAGTCTCTCTCAGTCTCTCTCTCTCTCTCTCTCTCTGTCCTCCGCTTCTTTATCTCTTTTTTTCTTCTCTCTTTTTTGTTTAATTATATATTTTTTGAACCCTTTTTATGCGGTCAGCTATTGGATAAGAATAAAAATTTGGTAACCTCTCTATTTTTTAATATTTATCTATGGCCCTAACATGCATAGAGCAAATTAATTTTATTTGAAGATTTTTTTTTTTGTTTTGAAATTACTCAATTTATTTATTAGGTAAAGTGCTAAAATTGATGAATAGCTGTATATATATATTTTAAAATATTTATTAATGTTATTTTGCATTTTCTATTACTTCTCAATTTTTTTTTTAAAAAATTGATGACATAGTAAATAAATAAAATTATATATTTTGAGCGTCAGTGTGTCATGCCCCCTATTTTTTGAAAATTTGCGTGTCCGCATGTCTGTGTTGTGTCACGTGTTCGTGTCCGTACTTCTTAGCTCAAGTCTTTACTGCTCAGCCAACCCCTTCGGGTTGTAGGTCTAAGGGTTATTTCTTACTATTGACCAAACAACTTATTTGTGTTCCTTAGAGAGCACTGTGTTGATACTCATTTGAACTAAATGCTACTTTGACGCCTCTAGATATGATATTGAGCATGTGTCGCATTTCTTGTGGTAGAACAACAGGTTATTTATTTATTTTGCATCATGGTTGTCTGAATCGTAGGATTGCGATACGATTCATGCAATTCGACGATTTTTGCTTAGGACGATACGATTTGCACCTTGGAATCGAAAAATTGAAAAGAATCGTTCGATTCAAACTCTGAATTGTGTGAATCTCTTGGAACTGCCGATACATTCGATTCTAAACTATTCCAAATTTCGTTCCCCCCCCCCCCCCCTCTCTCCCCAAACTTAGATGTCTGAAACGAAGCTCTTTTAACCCAAAAAAAGAAGATAAATATGTAAAACTAGTAGACCAGTTGAAAATCAAGCTAGGGCTTATGAAGAGAGGAATCGAAGAAAGAAGCGGAACGAACTTTTCATTGAAGAAATCACGCAGCAGTTTTACTTCTTAATACCCAAAATCTGAAGGTATGTAAAGAAATCAAGTTGAGGATTGTCTTATTCTCATTCTCGGTAATCTCTCCGTAGGTAATCTATCGCTGCTCATCTTCTCTCCTTCATTACCCAAAAAGGTGCCTTTTTTTTGTTGCCTACCATGTTGTCTGTTTGTGGGTCTCTTTCCTTTAATAATATTATATATATATATATATATATGCATGGGTACTTCGACAAACATGTCGTATCTGTACCGGGTGCTTACCCGTGTATGATACTTCATATGGTATTTCTGCACACATACCTTTGGCTTAGTTTGGGAAGTTGGCTATTTTGGTTGGCTGTTTGGCTATTTTAGCCTGGCTAAAAAAGTTGTGTTTGGGAAGTTGGTTTTTTTTTATAGTTGATTTGATGATTGTAAGAGAAAAAGTGAAATGATTATTGATTGAATGTGACATTTTGTCTTATTAGCTAATTTTAGCCTATTTTGTCTTTTAATTGGCTATTTTAGCGCAATCCTCTTCCCAAACAAGGCCATTATATAAATTATATATATTTTATAATTAAATATAAGATAAGTATAAAGTGTAAATTATACATTATATATTATATATACTTTATATAAATTATATATATTTGATGAGATTGCACTTAAGAAGATGAAATCAAGTAAGGTTTTAGGACCCAATGATAACCCTATTGAAGCTTGGAAGTGTTTGTGTAAAAAGGGGTTGCTTGGTTCACTAGGTTGTTTACCAAAATTTTGTTCTAGGAACATTTTAGATGAGTGGAAGAAGAGTATTTTAGTGCCAATCTATAAGAATAGAGATGTTGCAAATTGCAACAACTGTAGAGAAATCAAGCTAATGTGTCATACAATGAAAGTGTAGGAGAAGGTGATGGAATGCTGATTGCGAGATATAACAGAGGTGTCAGAGAATCAATTTGGGTTTATGTCTAGCAGGTCAACAATGGAAGTGATTTATCTTTTGAGGAGAGCAATAGAAAAGTATAGAGAAAAGAAAAGAGACATTCATATAGTGTTTATCGACCTTGAGAAAGTGTATGATAGAGTGCCTCGGGATATAATATGGTGGGTGTAAGGGAAGAAAGGGGTGATAAAAGGTTAGATTGATATGATTAGGGACATGTATGAAGGAGTTGTGACCACTATTAGATTGCCTGCTGGAGAGACAAATGAATTTCTTATCACTGTAGGGTTACACTAAGGATCTATCTTAAGTCCTTATCTTTTTGCTTTAGTTATGGATGAGTTGACAAGAAATATTCAGGATGACATGCCATGGTGTATGCTTTTTGCAGACGATATTGTACTAGTGGATAAGACTAGAGAAGAAGTTAACACAAAGTTGGAGATTTGGAGAAAAGCTCTTGAATCTAAAGGATTCCGGATAAGCAGAATTAAGACAAAGTACATGAAGTGTAAATTTAGTAACAATAATAATGAAAGCAGAGGAGAAGTGAAGGTTGAAAACCAAAAACTGCCTAAGAGTGAACATTTTCGTTATTTAGGATCAATTGTCACAACAGCGGGGGAGATTGATGCGGATGTGGCCCATAGGATTAAGGCGGGATGGTGTAAGTAGAGAAGTGCGTCTGGGGTACTGTGCGATAAATGAATACCCACTAAACTAAAAGGTAAGTTCTATAGAACGGTTATTAGATCAGCGATGTTGTATTGTATGGGACAGAGTGTTGGGCAACTAAAAAACAACATGTAGATAAGATGAACGTGGCTGAGATGAGGATGCTCAGGTGGATGTGTGG